ATCAAAAGATCATGGAAGGAATACATGGTCACTGTACCAAAAAGAAATGACTGATGTTCAACTATTTCAAGAGGAAGTATATGATCAAGAACCAATGGTACTGAAGGAAGAAGTCCAGATGCATGAAGACATTAGCAAAAAACAAGATTCCAGGAACTGACTAAATACAAATTAAAATCTTTCAACAAACTGATGTTTTAGGTGCTCACCTACTAAATACCAAAAAATTTGGAAGACAGCTACCTGGCCAACTGATTGGAAGAGAGCCATATTGTGCCCATCCCAAAGAGAGATGACCCAATGGAATGAGGAAATCATTGGACAATATCATTAACATCACATGTAAGTAAAATTTTGGTGAAGATAATTTAAAAATGGTTGCAAGAGAACATTAATAGGAAACTGCCAGAAATTCAAGCTGGTCAGAAGAACACATGAAATTAGAAATAACACTGTTAACGTCAGATGGATCTTGGCTCAAAATAGAGAATACCAGAAAAATGTTTACTTGTGCTTTATTGAGTATGCAAATGACTGTGGGATCATGACAAAGTATGGATAGCATTGCAAAAAATGAGTGTTCCAGAAAACTTAATTGTGCTTTTGAAGAACCTATACTTAGACCAAGAGGTAGCTGTCAGAACAAGGTGATACTGGTTGGTTTAAAATCAGGAAAAGTGTTCATCAAGATTGTATCCTTTCACCACACTCATTTAATCTCTTTGCTAAGAAGCTGGATTATATGAAGAACATAGCACCAGAATTGGAGGAAGTCTTATAAACAATTTATGATATAAACTTGCTTGCTTGAAGTGAAGAGTTGAAATACTGATGAAGATCAAAGAGTACAAAATTCAGTATGGATTGCAGATCAATGTAGGGAAAAATGAAAATCCTCACAAGTGGATCAATAACATCATGATAAACAGAGAAAAGATTGAAGTTGTCAAAGACTTCATTTTGCTTGGATCTACTATCAATACTCATGGAAACAGCAGTAAAGAAATCAAACAACATATTGCATTGGGCAAATCTGTTTCAAAACAATGATTATAATCCCCTCCATGTACCATCAGTTAACATTATTTATCTCTATTCACTTTAGCACTTAAAAAAAAAAAAAAAAAACACACTCGGGCATATATAATAATTTACACCACCAAACAGCACATTCTGCAAGTCTGCCTCCTCCTAGCCGCCATCTCTTAGTACCTCTCTTCCCATGAATCTAGAATCCTCAGCTGCTCCACCTCTCCATGTCCCCATCTCTGCATCCATCTCTGGAATCGCTGCTTCTCTGGATAAGGTCTCACATTCTGCTTGTGCTCTTCTTCATTGATGGTCCTAGGGTCCTTTGTTTCTGGACTGTAAGATTAACTACTCCCCCATTTTTGTTATAAAACTTCTACCTGTACAATTGTGAGTCACAATTAATCATGATAACAAGTACTCATTATTGAATTATAAGAATATTATCCCTATCTCTTTTAACCAGACCCATCTAGACAAGATGAAAACTATTCAGTGGGGACATTTTCTTACTCTACACACGCTTAAACTAAACTCCCCCTTGAAACCTTGTAAGCCAGTCACTTGGTGCCTTTATCAACCCCTCATTTTAGGTAGCCAAATTCTAAGTCGCCCATCCCTATCTACCCAGTGTACAAAGGGGGTAGCATTGATAGTTGAAGACTCCTTTCCTCTCTGTTGGTATTTAGAGTTTGCTACCTCCATGAGTATATATAGGTCAAGTTCATCAAATTGTAGCAATTTACCTTCGTTTCATTTATCAAAATTTGTTTTGTTCTTTTTTTTTTTTTTTTAATCTTCCTCTAGTTGAGTTTTGATTATCAAGCCATTGAGGCTAGGTCAAATGGGTACTTATTTGCAACTTTGAATGTTCTTATGCATCTCCCCTCACTTCATAACAGCTAGATGCTTCACTCTCGGCTCTAGTCCTCTGTGGCTATGTCCTTGTCCATAGGCTCAGGTGTCCCCATGTCTCACCACACTTTGGACCAATCAGCCCTTCCTCTTCTCTCTCTCATCTCCAGGTCAATGGGAGTCTGTGGAAAACGTGGTTGAACTCAGCCTATTTCTTCATTGCTGCCTCTCTCCCTCTTCCACTCACCAGTAGGTCGGTCATCAGCAAGCTTACAAGCCTGCTCATGTGTTCCCTTTGAATTTCAGTCTTAGAGGGGAGTTTGTCCTGAAGGAACTTCATTGATTGCCTTGATAACTTCCCGGCGAACAACTTGCTTATTCTTGTAGTAACCAATCACACTGCCATTTTTGTTTTGGATTTTTCCTGATGACCTTTCTTTGAAGATGTATCTTCTGTCACTGTAGCTATTCCAGGTTGGTCTGCTTGTCCTTGCTAGTGGGAATGTCCCACCTCAGAAGGTTCTGGATGAGGCTTAGGATTCCACCTAAGCAAAGCCATGTATTTTCATTCGCCAAGTCCTGATGTGGCGCTGTGGGTTAATGTGTCAGACTGCAAAGCCGTTTGAACTGCAAAGTCGGCGGCGGTTCAAGCTCATCAGCTGCTCCTTGTAAGCCCTATATAGGGTCACTATGGGTTGAAATTGACTCGACGTCACTTAACAACAACAAAATATGCATGGAGTCCTGGTGTGGCACTGTGAGCTAATGCACCAGACTGCAAAGTCATTTGAACTTCAAGGTCAGTGGTTCAAGCTCACCAGCTGCTCCTTGGAAACCCTATTCAGGGTTGCTATGGATCAGAATCAACTCGGCGGCACTTAACAACAACAAATATGCATGTGAAAGTTGAACAATGAATAAGGAACAGTAGAAGAACCAATACATTTGAACTGTGGTGTTGGAGAAGAATATTGAAACTACCATGGACTGACAGGAGAGCAAACAAATCTGTGTTGGAAGAAGTATAGTCAGAACGTTCCTTAGAAGTCGGGATGGAGAAACTTCATCTCTTGTATTTTTGGGGAAATTATCTAAGGGATTAGTCACTGGAGAAGGACATCATGCTTGCAAAAGTGGAGGGTCAGCAAAAAAGAAGACCCCCAGCAAGATGAGAGGCAGCAACACTGGGCTCAAACCTACCAACCATGAGGATGAGTCAGGCCTCAGCAGTGTCTGGCTCTGTGGTGCGTATGTTCCCTATGAGTTGGAACTGAATTGATGGCACCTAAAACCAACAATTCCTACCAACACCAACACCAACTCTTCTTTCTCAAAACCTAGATCTCTTCAAGAATGTCAGTTGTCTATAGGTAAACAATCTAAGGGGATGGTTCTCATTTAAAGCTCATAAAACTAATGATAATTCTGTGAGACTCATCTTGCAAGTCTACTTGGTAACATTTTCCTATCCTAATTTATCTTTCCTCAAAGATACCACGAGGAAATCTAGCATTTTAGTTTAAAATTGCATGTTTCCACAAATACATTGGACTGCAAAGTCAGTTTGAACTGCAAGGTCAGCAGTTCAAGCTCCCTAGCGGCTCCTCAAGAAACCCTATATAGGGTCTCTTATGGGTCAGAACCGACTCAATATCACTTAACAATAACATCAACAATTTCCATTCCTGTTATTATATTTGGATTTGTCCCAATGTATTTGGGAAACAAGCAGCTAACAATCTTTACCCAGTCCTGCTAACATTTTTTAGTTGCAATTGGAATGGATTGAAGGAATTATGGCTAGATTTTTAAACGACTTGGGTGATGTTGCCATTTTCTCTGCATACTGATGAAAGTGTTGCATAACTATACACAGTGAGGAAGTGTGAGATCAGGGTAGACGGATGGCGGCAGAAGGCAGGCCCAGGTTCTAGTCTTCTGGGTAAATCCCCAACTTCTTTGAACTTCCTTTTTTTTTTTTTATCTCTACTTCTAAAATTAGAAGCTGAAGCAGTTATTTCAAGCTTCTTGTGACATTTAAAAAATCTGACAGAAATGCTAATCACGCATCAAATGAGCTACTGTATCCTGATTTTTAAAAAGATTTTCTATTTATGATTTTAAAAAAGCAAAATAAAGTCGAAGTTGCAGCGTGTCACTTCTTTAAGATGAGGTAAGAACTGACGAACTAGTAACAAAGTCACCTGTCTTTAAGTGAATATGTTGACATTCAAGTGTCTAGAAAGTTATTTTTTGTCGACTCTCCAGGACTTTACTAGAAAGTCCAGTCAGTTACACAATTTGGGATTCACAGAGATGTGAACCAACCAGTACCATTCTGATATTTTGGGTGGAAAAGCAGGACATTTGGGACACAGAAGGTGGTGGGTGAGTGCCGTGCAGTCGGTTGGGACGCACGGTGACCCTGTATAGGGTTTCTGGGGCTGTAAATCTTTGCGGGAGCAGAAAGCCTCATCTGTCTCCCGCGGAGTCGCTGGTGGATTTGAACTGTTACGAATCGGGCTGCGAACCTTAAGGTCAGCGGTTCGAAACTACCAGGCGCTCTGCGGGAGAAAGATGAGGCTTTCTGCTCCCATAAAGATTTACACCCTCGGAAACCCTGTACAGGGTCGCTATGGGTCGGAACCGACTCGACGGCACTTAACAACAACAACAACACTGGCTGTTTAGCAGCAGTCCAACCCTACCAGGGCTCCTTGGACATGGAAGGGATGGTTATACCTGTAGGAAATGAAAGAAAGGCTGTAGCAGTAGAGCTTTTTCGAAGGTCTCTGACGAAAAAAGTTACTTGATAAGTGAAACCGCCCTAAATTTCCCAGTGTGGTCCCCACGTTCCCACGTCGTTGGGTAGACGGTCGCCTATGATTTACAGCCAAACGTACGTGCAAACTAGACTCCTCCAGCTCAGCGTCGCCTTCGAGGCCCGCACCCGCCGCACCGCCCTGCGTTGCGAAGCAAGCTCCGGCCCAGCCCCTCAGTGCTGACGAACGTCACCACAAGCCAATGAGTACACTGGGAGTGGGAGCAGCGGGGTTTAGGGGGCGGGATTTCCCGCGCGGCCGCTAGAGGCCTGGAGACGGTGGCGCGGGGTGGCGACGGCGGCGCAGATTAGGGCGGGCTGTGGTCAGCTGCTGTAGGCAGGCGGGTTTAAGAGGTCTGGGCAGCCACTGCGTCTCCTGCCCTCGCCCTCACTCCGCCAAGATGCCGGGGATCGACAAGCTACCCATCGAGGAGACGCTGGAAGACAGCCCCCAGGTGAGGCACAGGCGACTGAGGAAAGAGCTGGCTTGTCTGGTCCCGGGCCTGGCGCCGCTGCCGCAGGTGCTCACCCCGGCCCAGGTGGGCGCTGCCGCCCAGCTCCTTTGCTCGCGATGGGTTGCGGGCGCGAATTGCGCCCAAAGCCCCCGAGACTGGGCCTGCTGCCCGAGGCCCACATGGGCCTTCGTGTCTGGGCTGAGGCTGCAGTGTTAGGACATCGCCCGTGGAGCCCGAACCGCCGTCACTTCACGCGTGGTCCCGGCGGTGAGGTCCGAGTGGGGCTTTCCTTTTATTTGGCAGTAGGTGCGTTTTGAATCACTGTGATGGGTGGTGATAAATCCGGGTCTTCGAACTCTCTTTAAAAGCCTTTTTAGCTGAAAATAGAGAGAGGGGTTTTTTATTTTTGTTTTTGAGGCTCCGCACTCAAACGAGGGAAATGGAGTTTTTCTTCGAGAAGATGCTGAAAGGCTGTTGATTGGCTCGTGTGCGGAGTCTTTTGGGCGCAGCTCGCCATGAGCCCGCGTCCGCACCTCCCCACCCAGCGTGTCCAGTGTTGTGGCCGGGACTGGCCGCTGTCATTCGAACTGGCACTGCGTGTGATGAACGGCGCCTCTGCGGCCCAGGGCCGCTGCACCGCTGCATACAGACTTGGTTCAAATAAGCTCATCGAAATAAAAGCACTGTGTTTTGTGTTCGGTGCTTTGGAGGCTGCTCCAGCACTACGACATTAAAGAAAAACAGTCACATGTTACTTTTTCAATACCCGAGAATAATGTACAAAGCTGCATTTAGAAAAGAAAATATATATATATTGGTGGGAGCTATACCTTGCTTTGATAAACTTCATCCTAAAGCCTATCTTGTACACTGTAACTTAAGCGATACTCGTAGTTGGACACCACTTAGAATGAAGAAAGTTTTCTAACATTCCTATCATTCACTTTGAACTACAATTGCACATGTTTCATGTGACTTAATTTAATATGCCTCCAAAAGAAAGTCTAAAGGGGTTAACTCCCCCTTTCTGGGTGGTAGGTAGTCGTGGATCCTGGAACTTGTGCCAACTTTAAGTGCCAAGTTGAAATTGAGCACTGATTGTACAATTTGCTTTATTTATTTTTTCATTCAGAAACTTATCTTTATATACCTGTTGCCTGCTGTTAATATACTGTTATCAGCCTGTATTGACATAAAGAGAAACTCAGTATCTTGGATTATCTTGACTGCTAGAGTAACCGAATCACATTCTTACTGACTTTCTTGGTATAAATTTTAAAACTATGCTTTAGGTAACATGCAAAAATGTTATGGGCTATACTGATCAGATGCATGTCATTTTACCTTTTTACTGCTAAGAATCAACAGGTTGCCTTACCTTTCTTACCTGGTCTGATTTGTTTGTTTGTTTTTTTATATCCCATAAGTATTACACAGCTCAGAATGGGTTGCATAGTACTCTAGCCATGACTGTGAAGAAGAAATAATCTTTTGACTCTGTTAGTTTATAATTTGAACATAAATTTTTTAAAAAAGCACACATAAACACATGTTGCTTTCAGTTCTACAGTAATGTTTACGAAAGTGTGCTAATTGATATTTTAATTTCTAAAAGCAACAAATTTGAAGTAGGTTATATTTATTTGAAGGAGTTCTGGTAGTGTAGTGGTTACAAATTGGGCTTTTAACCTCAAGGTCAGCAGTTCGAAACTACCAGCTGTTCCATGGGAGAAAGGTGAGGTTCTCTGCTCCCATAAAGATTTACAGCCTCGTAAACCCTGTGCAGGGTCGCTATGAGTCGGAACCGACTCCATGACTCATAACCACCACCACCATATTTATTTGGGACAATTAGTTGAAACACCAGGGATTTAGGGAGGGAAGACACTTAGAGATTATTCTTAGGAAGAAACTGGCAGGATGGGAAGCTGTGGATCTAGGATTCAGGAGATAGGGTTCTAATCCTCACTACTATTATCTTCTGCTTTAGGACCAGTCACTTAACTTCTCTGAACCTCATTATAGATCATGTTGTTAGGTGCCTTAAAGTCACTTCTGACTCATGAAGACTCTGTATAGGGTTTCCTAGGCTACATATCTTTGTGAGAACAGAAAGCCTCATCTTTCTTCTGTGTAGTGGTTGGTGGGTTTGAACTGCTGATCCTGTGGTTAGCAGCCCAGTGCTTATCCCACAGTGCTTGCTGTACTCCTTTTGTTTCTAATTATAAAAATAGTTGTTTGCATCAGAAAAACTGGAAAGTACTAGAAAGAACATACACACACCCAGACACATTCTTGTCATACCCTCAGCGGCAAACCCTTTTAAGTTTGCTTTTTTAAAAAAAATTCTAGTCTTTTTTCCTATATATTTGAATACAGTTGAGATTATATTGTATATAAATTTAATCCTGCCTTTAATTTAACATTATAACTTAAGTATCTTTTCATGTTACTACATTTTGAGTTAAAAAGAATTGAAAGCTGCACCTTTTTCTTTCTGACTTAGCAGTTGTCCCATTGCTGGGCTTTAAGGATTTTCCCAAAGTTTTGCTCCTTTAAATAGGACTGAAAGTAATGCCTTTGGGCATACTTTTTTTTTTTTCTTCAAATTTTAGTTTAGACTACTTACCAAGGATAGAGTCCAAGAAGCAGAGTAACCAAGAGTATGAAAACTTTTAAAGCTCTTGATACAGCAGATACATTGTTTTCTAGATCATGTGATCCTAATAAAAAACAGACTGCAAGTTGCTATGTGGAATTCTGGTGTGGCACTATGGGTTAATGCACTGGACTGCACAGTTGGCTTGAACTGCAAGGTTGGTGGTTCAAACTCACCAACAACTCCTTGGAAATCCTATACAGGATCATTGGATTGGGACTGACTTGACAACACTTAACAACAACCACAAGTTGCTATGCATAAAAGTTAAAGTCAAGGAGTCATAGAAGAATATGCTGAATTACAGTAGTCCTTTTTAGTTCTGATTTATAGTAAGTAGGGAGAATTAGTATAATACGTGAAATTTTTGCAAGTACAAATCCAGTTGACCAATCATAAGCATCTTTATAACTAACTTGCCCAGACCAAACCATTCTGCAAAAGATCACATCATTGAACTCCCATGGGCTTTCTCATTGATATAAGACCCAAGCTTACGGTAGAGTAGCACATCCTCTTGTAGGACTTGGAAGCTCTGTATTGGGAACCCGACTAGAACTCTTTATTTGTATCCTTTTTACTATAATGAATTATTTTAGAACACTTTGTCATGTGTAATGCACACTCAGAAAGTTGTATTCATTTCATTGGAAAAGCTTGACCCATTTGAGAATTTTCTGAATGACAGTGTGGAAAAAAGCTGTTGTTGAGTGCTGTTGAGTCTGTTCTGACTCATAGAGGAAACCTGTGTAGGATTTCTAAAGAGTGACTGGGGAGTTTGAACTGCCGACCTTGTAGTTAGCCATCTAGTGCTTATCCCACAGAGACATACCAGGAGGCCTATATAATGTCTAGGTAGCCTCAAGAGCAAGAAATAATGATTGGCTTGACAACAGGTCGTGAATCAAGCAGCAGGATGAAAACCCTCCAGGATCTTGCTTCAAGAAGAGAAAAAGAATAGTTGATTCTTGGTCAAGAAAATTTATGGCCTGCCCTAGTACTGGTTTTGGAACAGCAGAAGGGGCTACTGGCAAAAGAACAAGGTGCACTCTCAAATATCCCAGACAACACCATGCAATCTCCTCCTTGGGCTGTTTGGGGGAACTTCCTAAAAAATATAAAGGTGACGCAATCTAGACAAGTATAAGAAAGAAAGTAGAAATAACCCCAAATTGTGTGCTCTTAAAAATCCAGTTAGCATCCTCTTCATTGTGAATGAAGAGCTAGCCAAGTTTAGTGGGTTACAGGCACTAATAACTGCAAGGTCAGAAGTTTGAATCCACCAGCCACTCCATGGGAAAAAGATGAGGCTTTGTGCTCCAGTAAAGATTTACAGCCTCAGAGACACTATATGAGTCATTCTGAGTCAGAACCAACTCAACGGCACCACCACTACTATTGTGTTATTTAGGACTGGGATAGGTTGGAAGTGTGATTCTTATGAAGAATCTGACTCTTAGTTGGATAATTCCTGCTACCTAATGGTTAATTCCTATAAAAGGAATTAGACATTTATAAATATGTAGTGTAATTAAACTTATAGAGGGTATTTTTAGCCTAAAAATTGAAACAGGTTTCCCTATTTAAAGCTGGTATCAAGCTCAATGGAGTCCTGGTGTGGCACTATAGGATAACAGCAACGCCAGTGGTCCAAACCCATCAGCCGCTGCTCATAAACCCTATACAAAGTTTCTATGAGTTGGAATCCATTCAATAGCTCTTAACATCAAGCTCAATATTAATAAATTACTCTGAAATGTTGGTTCCTACTCATAGCAACCCTGCACAGGGTTTCCGAGGCTGTATATCTTTACGGGAGCAGAATGCCTTATCTTTCTCCCGTGGAACAGCTGGTAGTTTCAAACTGCTGACCTTGTGGTTCGCAGCCCAATTTGTAACCACTACGCTACAAGAGCTCCATTACTCTGAAATAAGATAGTTAAAATATTTTTACATGTTGGTGATGGTGGTTATGTGCCGTGGAGTCAGTTCTGACTCACAGCGACCCTGTACAGGGTTTCCGGGAGCGGAAAGGCTCATCTTTCTCCCGTGGAACAGCTGGTAGTTTCGAACTACTGACCTTGAGGTTCGCAGCCCAATTCGTTACCACTACACTAGCAGTTCATTGCCATCAAATCAATTTCAACTCATAGTCACTCTGTATAGGGTCTTTGTGGGAGCAGAAAGTTTTATCTGCCTCCCTGTGGGCTCAAACCGCTGACATTGTGGTTCATAGTCCAGTACTTATTGTTTATTGTACAGAGTCACTGCACTCCCCGTTTATACATAGTATACTGTTAATTTAGCCTTAAATATTTTTCATTTGATCTTAGTTTATGTAATTTTTAATTCATACAAATATACCTTTAATGTTCCTTTTACAGTATGTTTGACATAGTTGGAAAATACCTCAGTTTTAATGAAGTGAAACTAAGAACAAGGAACCCTGACATGGGGCTATTAACTATCAAAAAAAAAAAAAGAAAAGTCCCAGGGTAACTTAAATGCTTGACCCTTAACTGGCTGTGATTCACACCCACCCAGCAGTACTGTGGAAGACACAGGCCTGATGATCTGCTTCCATAACAATTACAAAAAAACAAAAAACCCAAATCAACCTCAGTCAAGTTGATTTTGACTCATAGTGGCACCATCGGATAGAATAGAATTGCCCCATGGAGTTTCCAAGGCAGTAATATTTTAGGAGTCCTGATTTGGTGTTACAGGATAAGCACTGGAATACTAACTGTAAGGTCGGTGGTTCAAACACACCAGCTGTCCTCAGAAACCCCATATAGGGTCTCTATGAGTTGGCATTGATTCAACAGCACTTAACAACAATCTTTAAGGAGTTACTGGTGTGCTGCTGTAGGCTAAGCACTGAATCACAAGATTGGTTTGAGCAGCAAGGGCGGCGGTTCAAACTCATCAGCTGCTTCTAGGAAACCAAGTACAGTGTCACTATGAGTTGGAAACGATTCAGTGGCTCTTAGTAACAACAGACTTTATGGAAGCCATGGCACTCAACAACAAGTTTGGGTGTGGCACTGTAGGATAGACACTGTACTTGGCTAACCACAAGGTCGGTGATTGAAACACACCAGCCCCTCCTGGGAAACCCTATACAGAGTCGGTATGAATCAGAACCAACTCAATGGCTGTTAACAACAAGTCTTTATGGAAGCCAACTGCCAGATCTCTCTTCTTTGGAGTGGCTGGTGGGTTCTAACCACCTGTCTTTTGGTTAGCAGCTGAGCACTTAACCACTGTACCACCAAGGTGCATTTCCATGAAGATTACAGCCAAGAAAACCTCATGGAGTAGTTTACCCTCTAATACATGGGGTCTTTTAAGTTGCAAATCAACAGTAAAAACAAACTCAACAACAAAAGAAAACTGATGAAAATGCAGACACACTGACATTCTAATATCCTTGGATTTTTGCTTCCTTTGGAAGAAATAACCTTTTTTGGGGGTTTAATTTATAATGACAGGTAAATTCATTGCTTCTATTTTTTTACAGACAAGGTCTTTACTGGGTGTATTTGAAGAAGATGCTGCAGCAATTTCTAATTATATGAACCAATTGTATCAAGCTATGCATCGGATTTATGACGCACAGGTAAAAATTTAAAGGCTGATTGAATGCTTTTCCTGATTCTTTACTGATTTTTATGATTCTTCATGTCATCCATGAAGACAAAGATAGTATCTATCTTGTTAACTGGCCCTTAGCCCTATGCAGAGGAGTCCTGGTAGCATAGTAGGTAATCAGCTAGGCTGTTGACCGTAAGGTCAGTAGTTTGAATCTACTAATCACTCCACAGAAGAATGATGAGGACTTTTGCTCCTATAAAGATTTACAGCCTCAGAAATCCTTCACAGGGTCACTGTAAGTCAGAACCAGCTTGGTGGTACACAACCATCACCAGCCTTACGCAAGGCTCATAGTAATATTTGTTGAGTGGATGAATGAAAATTAAGTATTTTTTTACCACAGAGTTCATATTTCAGTACATGACTAATGTGTACCTTGTAGCATTACAAAAGCGATAAAGATTAAGTATTTTCTCTAAATACAGTAAGGGTTTTCTTATTGAAAGTCATTGATAGTAAGTAGTCTTTCTTTGCTTAAGACTTGAATGAAAAGTTGATGTTGTCACCAGTATTTTGTCTCATCATGTTTTTATCCCTGTGGAGTATTTTCTCTTCGGTAATGGATTTTAAAGTAGTTTGCCTTTATCTAATTGTTGTTGTTAAGTGCTGTTGAGTCAGTTCCGACCCATAACGATCCTGTATAGGGTTTCCGAGGAGCAGCTGGTGAGCTTGAACTGCTGACCTTGCAGTTCAAACGACTTTGCAGTCTGGCGACTGCACACAGTACCACACCTGGACTCCTTTATCTAGTTAGAACAGGGTAATAAAAATTAGATATTGTAGCTCTAGGTAGGGAGGAAATGAATTGAAGGAGGTTATAATTAGATTTTTTTTTGTTGGTAAAGATTTAAGAGCAACCTGGGTCCCATGATATATTTTCTATGGGGTTAATTAAGTATGCAAGTTTCATTTTCTTTCTCCTTATTTTCTCTTCTTAGATTCCCATTTTCATTATATTCTTAAAAGTAGCTATGATAGTTTTTTTTTTTCTCTTTGTGTTAGGTCTCTTAAGATTTGATTTCTGATAAGAGAGATAATACACAAAAGTAATGTGATTTTTTTTTCATTGTACCCATCATTGAGAAGAAATTTAAACTTAAAAAAAAATCTCCTTTATGTGGCTGTTTTAATATGATATAAATAGATTGGCCACATTTTGGTTGTATGTTACTAAATACTTATCATGGACTAGGGATGGCTAGTCATCAATGTCGACTCTCTGAAAATTTTGCTAAAGTTGCATATAGTTACCTCTGGCTTTAAAAATACTTAATTAAATGGTTAGATTTTATTAACTCAAAAAATGATACAAAACAAAAAAGACCTGGAACATGGCTGATCTTGAGCATTTCCCTCTGATTTGTGTTTCCTGTTAAGAGTGTTTTAGTGGTATTTCCCTTTCCAGTGTTTAATGAGAGGGTTAGAAAACATGTTGTGTGGTATTATATTAAATGAGTAAATATCTTCAGGAGTCCCTGGGTGGTGCAGCAGTTACTGTGCAGAAATGTTGGAGGTTTGAGTTCACTCATAGACTTCTGGGAAGAAAGGCCTCATGATGTACTTCTGGAACAAATCAGCTCTTGGTAGCCGTATGGAGCACAGTTCTTCTCTGACACACAGCACGCGGGATTATTATGAGCTGGTGACTGCTGCTCAGTGGTAACTGGTTTAGGCATCTCCAACCAAAGCTTTTTCTTAATCAGTAATATTATGCTAATTTGATTGCCAATCTTTTCTCTATAGAATGAACTAAGTGCAGCAACACACCTGACTTCAAAACTCCTAAAAGAATATGAAAAGCAGGTAATGTGCATGAAAGTTTTAAAAGCCTGATTTAAAATATGCAGTGATGCAATAACTGTATAGATACACAGGATTTTCTCATCAGGAGTCCTTAAACTTTCCGGGATTTACAGAGGATAATTGTGATAGATAGGCCATTGAAATTTCATCATAGCACTTACATTAAGATAATTTTAACGATTTAATTTTAGACACAAACACAAACATTATCTGAGTTACCTCTCTTCTTTTTACAAAAGTTAGAACTGAGGCTTGCTCAAAATTATGCAACTGGTTCTTGGAGGAACGGAGCTAAAAACCAAGTTTCTTAACTCCTAGTGTGGTGTGAATTTCAGTATACCTTGTTAATTTGTTACTTGGCAAACATTTTAAGTAATGTTTATCAATTCTGTGAATTACATTATTTAATTAAATGACATTTTTAGAGCTGAATCAAAATTTTAGAAGTTTTGTGAAGTTATGTAAAAATGGAAACAATAATGCGGCTTCTCATTCACACACACAAATACCAGCATTGGACCTTGTATTTCATCTCTGTTTCTCACTTGTCAGCGTTTTCCATTGGGGGGTGATGATGAAGTTATGAGCTCTACTTTGCAACAGTTTTCAAAAGTTATAGATGAAGTAAGTGTTCATTTTCTTTTTCTTGAATTAGTGGTCTTTTAATTAATTAAGTTACTCTGGTTGCTTAGCTTTTACTGGGAACTTTTATTATTATGGTTATATGATGAAAGCTGTGTTGTAAAGAATGTTATTTAAAGAGGGACCTTATTTCTACATCCTGGTGACTGCCATAAAGACAGCACTTAACGTGTCTGTTGTCCCAGAATATTTCTATAGTGTGCTGTCTCCTCAGCCCCTGGAACACTTTGATTGTTAATTGATTTAGGCAGGGAGAAAAGAGTTGACATATGAGCTTTATGGTTCTTTTCTTTTGCCAGCAAGCAACATCTTACCTTCAGTCCTTATTATCCTTTTACCTGAAAGTTATTAAATCAAAACTTGATTTCCCAAAGCAGTCATCAAAAGCAAAGAGGAAGAAAGGTGGTGAGGGATGTGGGACAAGTATATACCTGTTTTGTATTAATAAAATGAAAGCTCTGATTTCACTTGAACCAGTAGATCTGTTTGAGATCTTCTTAACTGGAAAAGTAAGTTTTTAAAACATTGTAATAATACTTTGTAGCAAAATATTTCTCATGGAGGTCAATATAATACTTTAGAAAGTAAAAACTTTTTGACTGTTTAATCTTTTGTGCTGTATCCCATAATTTTTAGTGTTCTTTTATATAAAATGTATCTTTCAAAAACTACATTTTGTTTAATTTGCATAAAACTAGTTAAATGTCTCTGTACAGTTAGTTACTTGGCCTTTTTGATTGTTTCTACTAGCTCAGCTCTTGTCATGCTGTACTTTCAACTCAGCTTGCTGATGCCATGATGTTCCCCATTACCCAGTTTAAAGAAAGAGATCTGAAAGGTATTGAAGTTAAGTTTCTGCTAACAGTCATTAGCTATTAGAAAGTCACTGCTTATAAATGGGCATTACTCTATATCTCTACCATATATGACTACAGCCTCTTTCACGTACTTTTACCAGACTCCAGCAATTTATAGGAACTCTTGCGAGGTGTCAAACATATGAGGAATACTGATACGAATAAGATGATTGTTTGCTTGAAAAAATCCAAAGAGGGAAATGGCTTTTATAAATTAGGGAAATGAGTATGGTATAGGTGGGGGTTAGAGGGAAGGTATCAGAAAGGCTTCATCAAGATTGTGACAAAACATTAACAATGAGGAGTTTTCCAGAAGAGAGTTATTTTAGAGGAACTAGAATGTGCAATCATTGCTGATGTCTGATGGCTTTTGGCAGAAAGCAGAGAATACCAGGAAGATGTTTCTTTATGCTTTATTGACTGCAAAGGCATTCGACTACGAGGATCATAACAAACTATGGATAACATTTCAAAGAATGGGAATTCCAGAATAGTTAATGGTGCTCATGATGAACCTGTGCACGGGCTAACAGGCAGTTGTTTGAACAGAACAAAGGGATATTAAATAGTTTAAAATTGAGAAAGGTGTGCACCAGGATTGTATTCTTTTACCATACTTATTCTGTCTGTATGCTGAGCAAATAATCTGAGAAGCTGAAATAGATGAAGATCATATGGTATCAGGGATTGCTCGGGCTCTGTAGGATAAGTACTAGACTACTAGCCACAAGGCTGGTGGTTGAAGGCCACCAGCCAATCCACAGGAGAAAGATGAGGTTTTCTGCTGTCATAAAGATTTACAGCCTCAGAAACTCCATACAGTTGGAACAATATGAGATATGATATGCAGATGAAACAACTTGTTTTCTGGAAGTGAAGAGAACTCAAAATATTTGCTGATGAAGACCCAAGACTAACAGCCTTTAGTATGAATTTTGCCTCAATGTAACGAAAATGAAAATCAAACAACTGGACCAATAAATAACCATGATAAACAGAGGAAAGATTGATGTTATCAAAGGCTTCATTTTGCTTAGATTCTCAATTAACATTCATGGAAGCTGCAGTCAAGAAATCAAATGGTGTATTACATTAGGAAAGTCTGCAAATAAACTTGAAGGTGTCAAGAGCAAGGATGTCATTTTTAGGAACAAGATTTGCCTGACCCAAACCATGGTGTTTTTCAGTTGCTGTATATGTGTGTGAAATCTGGATAATGAATAAGGAAAGCCATTGGATAATTGATCCATTTGAATTATGGCATTGGTGAAAAATATTGAAAGTACCCTGGACTGCCAGATACACAAATTTGTCTTGGAAGAAGTGAAGCCAAAATGTTCCGTAGAAGTAAGGATGGTGTGACTTTGTCATACTTATAGACATGTTGTGAGGAGGAACCAGTCCCTGGAGAAAGGACATCATACTTAGTTAAGTGGAGGGTCAATGAAAAAGAGGAAGAGCCCCAATTCAATTGACTGACACAGTGGCAGCAACAATTGTGAGGATGGCACTGGACCAGGCAGTGTTTTCATCTGTTGTGCATAAGGTTGCTAGGAGTTGGATCCAACTTTATTCACCTAACAACAGCAATAACAACAGAATGTGGAAAGGTATTGGTTGTGGAAATAACTAGCTTGCTGTAAGAATGTAAAGAAACAGTGAGGTTACAAAGTAGGATGTGTTGGGGCATGACAGGAGATGAATCTAGAAATAGATTTTTTGGGACCAGAAATTGGATTTGAATTTATGAACAAGGAGGAGCCAGTGCAGGGTTTGAAGGAGTAGAGAGATATGATCACTATGTTTTTGAAGTGCGGAATAGAGTTGATTTGGTGTCCAGAGGTGGTATTAGAAATGGTGAGTATCCAGTACAGTACAACAAATTCTGACGTGGCATAGTCACAAAGGGATGAAGGGGTATCTGTGGATTTGAGTGGTGGTAGGTAGGGATGCTGGTTCATTTTGCAACCCACTACTTAGTTAACGCACCAGACTGCAAAGCCATTTGAACTACAAGGTCCATGGTTCAAGCTCACCGGTCGCTCCTCGTAACTGACTTAATGGCACTTAACAACAACAACTTAGTAGTTATTGAAAGATTCTCTGGGCAAATTATTGAATGAAAATAGACGTCATCAAGAGAAAATACAGAGTCACTGTACCAAAAGGAAATGGTTAATGTTCAACACTTTCAAGAGGTAGCATATGATCAAGAGCCAATGATACTGAAGGAGGAAGTCCAAGGTACATTAAATGAATTGGCAAAGAACAAGGCACCAGGACTTGATGGAATAAAAATTGAAATCTTTCAAGAAAGTGATGCGGCACAGGAGGCACTCACTCATCTCTGCCAAGAAATTTGGAAGATTACTATCTGGCTGATTGATTGGAACAGATCCATATTTGTGTCCATTCCAAAGAGAGGTGACCCAACAGAATGGGGAAATAATTGGACAATCTCTTTGATATCCCATGCGAATAAAGTTTTACTAACGGTAATACAAAAACGGCTGCAAGCATACATTGATAGAGAACTTCCAGAGGTTCAAGCTGGATTTAGAAGAGGCTGTGGAACGAGGGATATAATTGCTGATGTGCAATGCATCTTGGCTGAAAGCAGAGAATATCAGAAAGATGTTTACCTGTGCTTTATTGACTATGCAAAGGCTTTCAATTATGTGGATCTTTACAAGCTATGGACAATATTGCAAAGTATTAATATACTGGAACACTTAATTGTGCTCATGAGGAATCTGTACCTGGACCAAGAAGCAGTTGTTTGAACAAAACATGGGAAATTCTGTCTGTATGCTGAGCAAATAATCTGAGAAGCTGGGTTATATGAAGAAAAACATGGCATCAGGATTGGAGGAAGACTCATTAACAACCTGCGATATGCAGATGATACAATGTTGCTTGCTGAGAGTGAAGAGGACTGAAAACATTTACTGATGAAGATCAAAGAGCACGGCCTTTGGTATGAATTACATCTCAATGTAAAGAAAACAAAAATCCTCACTACTGGACCAATAAACAACATTCTTATTAACAGAGAAACTATTGAACTTGTCAAGGACTTCATTCATCTTGGATCAACTATCCACACTCACGGAAGCTGCAGCAGTCAAGAAATCAAATGTTGTATTGCATTAGGCAAATCTGCTGCACAATACCTTTTTAAAGTGTTGAAGAGCAAAGATTTCAACTTGAGGACTAAGGTGTACCTGACTCAAGCCATGGTATTTCCAATAACCTCATACACATGTGAGAGCTGGACAGTGAATAAGGAAGACCGTAGAAGAATTGATGCTTTTGAGTTATGGTTTTGGAGGAGAATATTGAAAGTGCCATGGGCTGCCAAAAGAACCAATAGATCTGTTTTGGAAGAAGTGCAGCCAGAGTGCTCCTTGGAGGCCATGATGGCCAAACTTCATCTCTCACACTTTGGACATATTGTCAGGAGGGACCGGTCACTGGAGGAAGATATCATGTTTGATAAGGTGGAGGGTCAGAGAAAAAGAGGAAGACCCCCAGATGGATTGGCCAGGTGGCAGCATCGATGGACTCAAACGTGGCAACAGTAGTGAGGTTGGCCCAGGATCAGGCCGTGTTTCATTCTGCTTTGCATAAGATTGCTATGAATTGGTACCGATTCAATGGCACCTAAACAACAACAACTTAGTAGTTTGGGTTTTGTTTTTATTTATTTGGGATTACTGAGAGCTTTATGGAATTGGCTCTGCTTTCTCACTATTTGCAGTCTTCCACAGTCATAACAAACTTATTTACAAAATTTGTAGGAAAAAAAAAGAAAACACTGAACCAGTCGACCAGTGGAAGTATTGCATTTATATGTGGAATTAAAGACATTAAGTATTTTAGATATGGAGTCAGTTACTGCGGTGATTCTCAGGAATGGTCATTTCCAAGATCGAGAAATAGATATTTCCCTTCACAATCTAAGGGAAATGAGTGTCATATTATATTGACAAAATGTTCTTTATTTCTTATTCAGCATTTTAACTTTCTAAAGTTATATATGAAAAAAATGAAGTAATACATTGGATTCTGTCACTAAGTTAATACTATATTTCTTAGCATTTGTAGGGAATATTATTAATACTTGTTTTTATTTCATTATACAAATTTATAGCAAGTAGATTTTCTGGTGGTATAATTGTTGCTCATGGTAATGTTCTACAGACTAACTTTGAGAATAATACAGAATAACTTACCCACCTTGGAAGTATGAAATAATATGTGGGGTTTTAATTATAGCTTAAGCTGCAATTAAAAGTTTTCTAAACAAAATTAAAGATGACTATTTAATAAATTTGGTAAACTGAAATTATTTTTGAACTTTTTCAGAAATATTGACATTAAAGGAAGTGTTTCAGATTGCTAGTAATGGTAAGCCCTGAATACTGTGCCCATGTATTTCATGTAAAAATCCATTTATCATATAACTGTTGGTCAGATTTAATCAGCTAAATGAAAAAAAAAGTACTTTAAAGCTTAAATGAACATTATTTAAATCAGTGTTGTTACTTAAATTGCACTGTTTACATTACAAGAAATTTTAAAACGAAATTAAATCAATCTTATAGTTTATTATCTTCATAACACCCAAGGAAATGGTGTAATTATTTTTCCTTCTTTGTTTTTCTGTTTATTTAAAATTTTCTTTAAGGAGCATTTTATACTTTTGTGATAAGAATTACTTTCTAAGAATTTCATTGGACTACAGTTTCCTTGTAAAAATTTACTAACCTGGTAAATGGAAACTTAAGGTAGGGGGCAGTTGGCCATGAGGGACATGTGGATAGAGTAATCATATAGTAGAAAATTTTCATCTTGTTTTATTCCATTTGCAGAAAGTTGCTCATTTAGACTATTTAACACATTTACATTTTGTAAAGACTGTCTTTAACAGCCAATTTTGTTTTCCAGATCATGATGCTGCAATTAACAGATACAGCCGATTGTCTAAAAAAAGAGACAATGACAAGGTGTGATGCATACTTAATCCTTCACTATTACTGTTAGGGCCTTTTTCATGAGGTGGTCTAGGTTTTCCTCCACAAAAATAGTAACTCATAGGTACTTAGTATGGTTTTGCCATCTTATTCCTAGTGTATTTTTTCCTTCTAGCTATTTTAAAGCCTTTGTAAAATAAGGCAGAATATTAATAAATGGATAATTGTTTGCTTCTTGGAACAAAGTATACTTCTGTGATAATTTGATACATTATAAGTAAATATAACTATCACAGAAGTAAAATTGATGCCCATTATATGACATTTCCTTTTTTTTGCATTTTGATAACATTGCTTTCGTTCTGGTTTTAAATGATCACCTATGTATGAAGAATTGTCTTTGAAGATAGAGTAGTATTGAAGTTGAATTGTCCCTACATAATTCAGTGAAATTTTGTTATGAGGACTTCCTCATTTACAGAAAACACATTTTTTGATATTTCTTCATGTAGTAAAATATAGAAATATTACACTATATTGAAGAGTGATTTCGTAGAGTAAACATCAAAGAACAGGTTCATCTGGGTGTTCCTTAATATCATCTCTCCATCTAGGGCCTAACCCAAGGATTGACCAGATGTTTGTGGGTGAGGTGATCTCTTGGTCTAGGAGTTTTGATGTAGCTTTGGCTGCATCTGCTGATCGGGACACAGTGAGCACTGCTGGGAATCCATGGGGAATCCATGAATGGGTGGGGCTTGCTATACACCAACTACTGTGACACAGTAAAGGGAATGTTTCTCACACAAAGCTCAGTGCAAAGATCTTATTTACCATCAATTTGAGAAGTCTAAAAGAAAGTATTTTGAATATAGCTACTAGACCTCTTTTAGATAATCTTGTGTTTCAAGTGACTTCCATAAAATGAAAAAAAAATTTTTTTACTGTATTTTTTGTGGGGGTAGAGTGGGTAGGTAGAAGTAAGGAGTAAGTTAGGGTTAGCCCTATGGCTAGGCCTAGGACTTGGTGTATTATTAGAATTATGGTTAGGACTAGGGTTAGTGTTAAGAGTAAGGAATGAGTTAGGGCTAGGGATAATGTTAAGGGTGAGGATTGGGCTAGGGCGAGGAATAAGTCTTGGACTAGTTTTTAAGGTTACAATTAGGCTTTTATTTTTTTTCTTGAAATTGGATTTCCTTTTCATTTGGAAGTTCTGTAACTACATTATTCCCTCTTTTTATTTTTGTTATACAAATGTATCTCTCATTTTTCTCTTCAGTCTTATGTTAGGTGGTTGTTAGGTGCTGTGGAGTCAATACCGACTTACAGTGTCCCTTTGCACTACAGAACAAAACACTGTCTGGTCCCACTGCAACCTCATAATGGTTGCTATGCCTGAGCCCACTGATGCTCCCACTATGCCAATCCGTCTTGTTGGGGTCTTCCTCTTTTTCTCTGATGCTCCCCTTTACCAAACATGATATTCTTCTCCAGTGACTGGTCCCTCCTGACAATATGTCCAAAGTATGAGAGATGAAGTTTGGCCATCCTGGCCTCCAAGGAGCACTCTGGCTGCACTTCTCCCAACACAGATCTGTTAGTTCTTGTGGCAGCCCATGGCACTTTCAATATTCTCCTCTAACACCACAACTCAAAGGCATCAATTCTTCTGTGGTCTTCCTTATTCACTGTTCAGCTTTCGCATGCATATGAGGTTATTGAAAATACCATGGCTTGGGTCAGGCACACCTTAGTCTTCAAACTGTTATCTTTGCTCTTCAACACTTTGAAAAGGTCTTGTGCAGCAGATTAGTCCAATGCAATATGTTGTTTGATTACTAACTGCCATGGGTGTTGATGGTTGATATGAACCAAATGAACTCTTTGACAACTTCAATCTTTTCTCTATTTATCTTGATATTATTTATTGGTCCAGTGGTGAAGACTTTTGTTTTCTTTACATTGACGTGCAACCCATACTGAAGGCTGTGGTATTTGATCTTCATGAGTCAATATTTTAAGTCCACTTCGCTTTCAGCAAGCAGGGTTGTATCATCTACGTATCACAGGTTGTTAATGAGTATTCCTCATATCCTGATGCCACGTTTTTCTTCATATGATCCAGCTTCTTGAATTATTTGTATACAGAATGAATAGTTATGGTATTGAAATAAGTCTTACAGGTGAATTTTACTTTGCATACTTCTATACCTGTGTAAAGCCTAGGTGATAACTGTCATTATATGAGTTTCAACTTGTTGTCTGCTATTGTTGGTTCTGTGTCCAGAGAACTCCCATTAGTATTTTTTGTAACATTGGTCTGATTTTTCAAGTTCTTTTAATTTCTGTTGGTCTGAAAATGACCTAATTATGTTGTCGTATTTGTTGGACAGTTGTACTGGATATATGATTCTTGGCTGGCAATTTGTTTCTTTCAGAATTTTATATATGCCATTCCATTGTATTCTTGCCTTCATGGTTACTTCTGAGAAATCACAGCTTAGTCTTATTGGTGGTGGTGGTGGTGGTGGTTATGTGCCGTGGAGTTGGTTCCAACTCATAGCAACCCTCTACAGGGTTTCTGAGGCTGTAAATCTTTATGGGAACAGAAAGCCTCATCTTTCTCCCACCTAACAGCTGGTAGTTTTGAACTGCTGACCCTGAGGTTAAAAGCCCGATTTGTAGCCAGTATGCTACCAGATCACCTATGCTGCTTTTAGGATTCTTTCCTTGTCTTTGGTTTTAAAACTTTGATTATAATATATTATAATATGTTTTGGTGATTTTTCTGTTGGGGTCTATCCTGTTTCGAGTTTGTTCAACTTTCTGACTGTCTTCTTGTCTTTCATGAGGTTGGAGAAGTTTTCTTCCAATAACTTTCAGTATTCTCTATGGGTTTTTTTCATCTTTTCCTGTTCTGCAATTCTATCCCATGTAAGTTATTCCTCTTGATTGTTGTTAAGTGCCATCATTCAGTTCTGACTCATAGTGACTCTGTATAGGGTTTCTGAGGAGTGGTTGGTGGGCTTGAACTGCTGACTTTATAGTTAGTACTCCAGTGCTTATCCTACAGCATCACACCAGGACTCCACTCCTTTTTATAGTGTCTCACATAAATCTTAGGCTTTCTTCAGATTTTTTTTTTTATTCTTTTTTTATGATTATTCCTCTTGCAGATGAATATTGAGGGATTTTTCTTCAAGTTCAGTAATTTGGTCTTTCATTGATTCAATTCTGTTTTTTTATCCTTTCTGTGTATTATCTATTTCTGATGTCTTAGTGTTAATTTTCTTACTTTCTAATTGCTTTTTTTTATGGTTCCCATTTTTTTCCAATTATTTTGTCACTTTGTTTCCTGAAGTTTTTCATAGTTTTCTTGTCTATATATATTTTTTATTTCATTTGTTGTTTTCTCTATTTTTATCACAAGCCATTGAATTTGCCTAATGAGCATTCTTTAAATTCCTTATCAGGTAGTTCTGATGCCATTATCTGGTATTATATTTTCTGACTCTGTATTTTGGTCACTTGTTTAAATTACTCTGTGTTGGTTTTTTTTATGTATTGAAAAAAAAATTTATATTTAGAATTAGCCAACTGGACTCAGTTTAGGTGATTCTAATTTTCTTGGCAACATCCAGAGCATCATAGTCAGGAGCCAGTGGAACATATGCCTTCTTTTCTCCATCAGGCCTGATGAAGGGGTTGACCTTGGCTACATCAGTGTCATAGAGCTTCTTCACAGCCTGTTTGATCTGGTGCTTGTTGGCAACAAGCGTGTTGTTATCTTCAATCTTCTTCATGGCTGACTCAGTAGTCAAGGGGAACCTGATGATGGCATAGGGGTCAAGCCATAATTCTCCTGGGTGCACTCTTCTGAGAGGATATTTGGGCTGCCTTCATAGCCTTAGTATGTTGGCCCACCTGGAGGTGGGTAAAGTGCAGGTCTTCTTTTTTGTGTTCCTGTGGACGCCTTTCAGCACTGCCTTCTTGGCCTTCAATGCTGTTGCTTTGGCTTCAGCTTTGGGAGGGGCAGGTACTTCCTTCTTTGCTTTTGATGCCATCAAAGTAGAAAGGCCTGTCTTGCTTCTTTATGTGAGGTTAAATTGTCTGTTTTCTCCAAGACACTGTGGTGTCATATTTATATTTAGTTGATGCCTGTATACTGATATATTCTCAGGCACTCACTACCTGTTTCCTGACGGATGTGGTAGAGACCAGAAGTGGGAATGCAGTTAGTTTTTTGTTACTGTGTAGTGTAGGTCAGGGCAAGCTCAATGGGCCTTCTTCAGAAGCACATGCACTTTGCTTGGCATCCAACCCCAGGCAGAGCAGAGGCTGCATGGGAAGAGTGCCACTAGCTGCTGGGTTGGTGGGGGTTGGGACCACCCACATCCCTGGCTACCAGGAGGACACAGGAACAAGGAAGAACTGCATTACCTTACCACCAACCTCCAACCTCATCCTGTGCCTTCAGGCCATTGTATAAATTGTTGTTTAGCACCATCAAGTCAGTTACAACTCATAGCGAACTCCTATAGGGTTTCAGAGGAGCAGCTGGTAGATTTTAACTGCCTGCCTTCAGTTCAAACTGACCTTACAGTCCAGTGCTTATCCTGTCAGTAACCACTTGCAGAAGCTCAAGATGGCCATGCCATGCTACACCAGCCCACAGTCCACCTGTTTTTCTTCTCGTTGCTCCCATTCAGCATCCTCTTCCACTGGGCACTCAGTCCACTTCTCCGCCTTACACTGGAAATGCTTAGTGTGCCAGCATCACTTTTGTATCTGTTTCACTTGGTCTCTCATGTCTTTGTTGCAGAGGATCAACTCAGTGCATCTGCTTATTCCACCATCTTGCCTAGGACCCTCCTTTCCAGTTATGATTTTAGTTTATAGATAATTTACTGGTTAAAATACATGCATTTTGAAACATACGTTACTTAGCTACTTTGCCCTAGAGAAGTAGCTAGAGATTCTCGGTTTAAAATTTGGTACATTTTACAATGATTCTTCTAGGTATTTGTTGGGAGGGAACCCCAAAACCTCTTTTCCTGAATGCCATTTCATTAAAAATACTGAGTGCCTATAATATGTAAAGCAGGATGTTGAATGCCAAGAAGGAACAAAACTGATAGCAGCCTTCCTGGGCAGGCATGTGCTTGGCTGAAGAGAAGGCAGTGAGTAAAATGCAGTCATAGTTATCTTTACAGTGCGCTGAGAATAGAGCACAGGGAACACAGCAGTGAGCTTTCATGGGTGAATTGGAAAAGTTTACACTTTTAGGAGGTGACATTAGTATTGCATCTTGAAGGATTAATTGACTTGGGGAAGATCTTCTTGGAAAAAAGGCACATGCTTTCTTTTAGTGGTTTACGAGCACTGGCTCTGCAGTCAGATAGCTTGTGGGCAAATATCACCTCTACCGCTTCATTTTCCTGAGAAATTGCAACAAGTTACATACCTTCAACCCTTATCTCCCTATCAGAGATCTCCAGTGATGGTGAAGATGAAATGAAATATAATACATGATAGTACCTGGTTTATAGGAAGTTTTCAATAAATTGTAACAATTATGATAGAAAGATAATCATTTCAGTGTGTCAGGGGCATAAAATGTATTAGGGGAGGAATGGCAGAGGTGATAAGAAATAAGTAGCTTGGAGCTAAAAGTATTACTAAGTTAATGATTTTGAAATTTATTTTAGAGGGAGTGGGCAGTCTCCAAACAACTGTAGGTAGTTGAGTAATACAATGCAATTGTGTAAAGAACAGAAATATGAAGTTCCAGAAATGGAAATGTGAAGGGGACAAAACTAGAGGAGATCCAGTTAGAAGGTATTCGCATGATTTGCAAAGACAAATGAGGGTCTAAACTAAGGTTGTTACTTGAAGTGCAGAGGTGGAAATATTCTGGATAGTCATTTCATAAGTAGGATTGGCAGACTTTTGATAGGAAGATGAATGGAAAATGAGTCAGGTTTTTAAAATGATGATGGATGCTGGAGTAACTAAGAAAACTTAAAAACATAAGTGGAAGAGCAGGTTTGTGGGGGAGATATTTTGTACAGTTTTAGCACTTATACACACACATATACATATGTACACATATACCACACAATACACACATAAACACATAAAGAGCTCTGGTGGAGATGTGCTGCTTCTGCACTTTGCTGAGCAAGAGCAGATGAAAAGTTGGGAGGTTGATGGAATATTGTTAGTATTTAATGACATTCAAGGAATAGCAAGAAAGAGTTCAGTACTTATTACATCTTTGTTGTTGTTGTTAAGTGTTGTCAAGTTGGTTCCAATTTATAGCAATCCTATGTAGGGTTTCGAGGAGCAGCTGGTGAATTTGAACTGCTTACCTTGTGGTCTAGTGCAATATCCACAGCACCACACCAGGACTCCTTAAAATGGGGTAATTGATAGTAATATAGTAAGTTATCCTCAGATTATGAACATCCAATTTAAAGGAGCTCTAGTAGCCTGGTGGTTATGAATTGTGCTGCTAACCTCAAGGTCAAGCAGTTTGAAACTATCAGCCGTTCCACGGGAGAAAGATGAGGCTTTCTGCTCCTATTGAGATTTACAGCCTCGGAAACCCTATGCAGGGTCATAACCACCACCACCATCACACTTGCCCTTTAATATTATGTAAATTTGCCCTCACATTCAAACAACTGAATCATTCCCTACCTGCTTCAAAGTCTTGATCACAATCACTTTCTCTTACTGCATGAGCAGCTTTTAAATCATGGGAGAGGCTTCAAGCCTTCTCTTGTGCTGAAAAACAAAACAAAACCAACTACCATCGAGTCGATTCCAACACATAGTGAGTGACCTTAAATATAAGACAGAAGAGAGCTGCCCCTAAGAGTTACGGAGACTACATCTTTATGAGAGCAAACAACCTCATCTTTCTCCCATGAAATAACTGGTTACAAGCCAACCTTGGATTAACAGTCCAACACTTAACCTCCTGTGCCACCAGGCCTCCTTTCTTGCAGTAAAGTAAGGCTAAATAAATAAGAACCATATTTAGGCTTAAAGACACATGAAGAATGGATCTTGTTTATAACTCAGGGACTACCTGTACAAGAAAATCAGCTAATACTTTGAAGGATTTCTGATGTATCAGAAAACAGTAATGCATTGCAAATTGCTGGTGACTGACCTTTTCCTTTAATATGCTCATACCCACAACTGAAGATAATCAAAAGATAATTAATAGAATTTTTTATCTTTTTGTTCAAAAGGTGAAATATGAATTAACAGAAGATGTGTACACTTCCAGAAAAAAACAACACCAGACCATGATGCATTATTTTTGTGCATTAAATACTCTTCAGTACAAGAAGAAAGTAGCATTGTTAGAACCTCTGCTTGGGTACATGCAAGCTCAGGTGAATGCTGTACTAAATTTTGGATTATAACTGTTGTGAAAACCTTCTGTCAATTTTGATGTTTGTGTTAAATGCAGGGTATTACACACTAGTAAGATACTCATTTGTAACGGTGTTTTAAACAGTAATTTAAAAATATAATACTGTTATACAGAAGTTAGGGAGAATGGTTGTCATTGCAAAGGAAGATTTCAAATATTTTCAGACCACTGAAACTACTTAGACTTTGCCCATCACAGATGGGGATAGGGAACAGATAGCTTAATAAAATCCTAGAGTTGCACCTGTAGTTGGCGCCTCCACTCTTGTTTGTTTCATGTTGTTGTTGTAAAGTGCTGTCAAGTTGGCTCCTATTCAAAGCAACTCTGTAGGGTTTCCGAGAAGCAGTTGATGGTTTTGAACTGCCAGCCTTGTGGCTAGCAGTCCAGTGCTTATCCTTCAGCCCCACATTAGCACTTCATACCAGGTATGAAAGAGAACAGACAGGTTTGAATTTGTTCCATGTGCCTCTTTAAGTTTCTGAGTGAAATGGTTCAGTGAACTCCAGAATGCCCAAAGAGGCACATATCAGGAAGGAGATTAGAAAATAAAGTGTTGGTTAATATAAAGCAAGATAATATTGGTGGTGGGTGGTGGTTATGTGCATGCAGTCGGTTCTGACTCTTAGTGACCCTGTACAGGGTTTCCAAGGCTGTAAATCTTTACGGGAGCAGAACGCCTCGTCTTTCTCCTGCGGAACAGCTGGTAGTTTTGAACTGCTGACCTTAAGGTTTGCAGCCCGATTCATAACCACTATGCTACCAGAGCTCCTTAAGATAATATTGTTAGTCCCTTAATCAAGAATTAAAAGAAATTGGAACATCCCTTCAAATATGTGGATGTGTGTTATCCCTTAGAAACGAAGACAAAAGAACCCCAAACACATTACCATGGAGTTAATTCTCATTTATAGCAACCTTGTATAGAGTTTCCCAGACAGAATCAGTATGGTACCAGACAGCCTCATTTTCTTCCCTTGGAGTGGCTGGTGGGTTTGAACCACCAACCCTGTAGTTAGTAGAGCAGTGCCTAACCCACAGCATCACCAGATTACCTTTCATTAGATATAGAACTTATTTATCTTTGTAGCAA